CTCTTTCCAGTAAACAAATGCAGCAGAGGCTATGTCTCTCTCAGCAAGTAGTTCAATATGATAGGAGTGAATTGACAGAATCAAACAGTTGATGTTAAACGTCTATACCTACAGTATATACAGTCTGGAAATTGGAAGGTCAGGTTTAGTCTGATGCTCCAGACATCCTCAACACATAGATGCCTTCAAGCTGCCTGAAAGAAACCACTGCTATGGACTCAGGTCACCATTCAGAACTGGAGGGCATCTGGTGCACACCCAGAGCCCAGGTCCCAGTTCTCCAAAGGGAAATGAACTCAAGAGCACCAAAATGGCTTTGACAGCCAAGCCAGTCTGTCAAGTGGGGATGAGAGAGGGATTTACTCCTAAATTGCACCACTGTTGTAGATGCAGCTGGAGTTACCCCTAAAGAGAACACAGCTGCCAGGATGTTCAGTCTCACACAATGCTTTTAACCCTGGGCTGAAAGACCACTTACTAATGAACTGTGTTGCAGTGTTCCCAATGGAACCAGATGGCAGAATTGCTATCAGCATGTAGAACATAAGAAGCAGCAGTGATGTAATCAAAATTACAACGATTTTTCATTCACACCAGAGCATGAATTTTAAGACAGACATACAAAAAGCTGCTGCTCTGGACAGCCTGAAAGCAGAATTGCTGCTCTCGTTGCATATGTTCAGAAAGAACAATTGCTTACTTGCAGAAGTTAAAAATTCCTTTGTATAAAGGGGCACTGAGATGCATAAGATGCAATACACTTCGAAAATGCAAGCATTTTACAAGTCCATTTTACAAGCCATAATGTCTATTACATCAACATTCCACAATACAAAGCTTGTCTTTATATTTAAAAATAGAATATAAACAAATAGTAATTCACAGTAGGACAATTGACACAGCAAAATTTCTCAGAGAAAGTGCTTTACCTACACAAAACACCCTAAAGTCTACCAAGCAAGCTCTAAAGTTCTCCAATTTAAAAGGGGTAGCGATAGAAACAAAAATAGAGTGCAAGTGACATCCAAAATTTTGAGAGAAATCAAGAACTCCAAATGTGCCATGTGCCTCAGCTGATACCCAGGTCAGCTTCATCTGGGGAGTCACTGCCTCTAAATGTGATACAGGACACTGTTTTGAAAAAGTAACAGAGTAGTTGATTTACTTACAAATGGCTTTATTGAAGCTATAACTTAATAAATTTGATGTTCAAGGTGTAAAGTTATCTCACAGACTAAAAATTAGCACAACAAGGAAAAAATATAAGTAATACAAATCTACTTATGTCATCCAACTGGTAGAACTGAATCTGAAAGATGCTATTATTTGAAGATAAGGAATTAAGACTGTCACAGGACTGAATAAACAGACAGGGAAATACAGCAATAGAGTACTTCACAGTAAAATACCTCTTTATTAGGAATATATTTAAAACTAGCTTTCTATTTCAGGTAAGAAAAATAGCATTCTGACTTTTAGTCAGCGCTGATTCTGGTCATACGCAGCATTCTAACAGCTAGAAAAGTTATTTGCACTGTTGTTGCCCATTAACAGTTCACCTAACCATCTGTTCACTGCCTCTTTTTAACTTGTTCTTAAATATGTTGGAACAAATTCTTCAAATAAGGTTTGTGTTTAGATCTTAGCTAAAACTGACAGATTGACTTGACAGTGACTCAGCATCTGTTATTGGCTCACATACAG